TTTGTTCTTGACATCGACTTTTTTATTCGTTCAATGCGTATCATCATCTTGATATTGGTTGTGGGTTCTTGGTAAATTTTTGGTGTAGTGCTTAACTTTGAAGAACTACACCATTTGACTTTGCCACAATAACTATTACATGGAATAAAATAAATATATTTTCTCCCTTTATCAACTGTCGTCTGAGTATGTTTTGTGCTATCTGTACAAAATGTTTGCTGTCGAATATTTTGTTGACAGGCAGCAACGCTTTTTAAATCCTTGCTACTTTGATTTTACATTCTTTCGAAATGATGTACGAATTTATACGTTCAACTTTTCAAGTGCGGTGCTTTTTGCTAAAAGTCTCAACCACTTCAAAATCTATTGTGAAATCGAATATTATACGCAAAACGGTACTGTGCGATGTTGAAGCAAATAAACCAAATTCAAACCGAACGCAATTTTTTATTTACACCATATAAATCTATTTTATAAGATTATGCATTATTCAGATTTATGAAGAAAATGACATGAAAAACGAAACCACAATCAATTGCAGTCATTTGCTGTCGCACGAACAATTTTCAAGACCTTTATTCCGAGTATGTTCGTTCATTCAACTTCGAGAACAAGACATCTTGAAATTCAATATAAATATTAGATTCGCTCCAAATATGCGAGAAAATGATTGAATGCATGACTCAATGTCGACAACAAGTGAATTAGATTTTTCGGCAGGTCTCTCAAGCAACTAGTTGATTTACATTTTTACATGATGAAAAATTCATTTCTTTTTTTATTCAATGTTATTGAGCTGCTTTCATAAATGACGACACAAAATATCACCAGGGCTTGTTTGAGGCATACTTGTAATTTTATGCCGATATGCAGCAGCTCGGTTCGCCAGTATCACCGTTTGTAGCATGTATGTTTATGTGTTTTTTGGTTATGCACAATAACCACACTAGATATTCCTTAAATCTAAATAGAAAACAGTCACATTAATTTCATTTCGAAAGCAATTCCATTAAAATGTGTTTATTTTTGGAGCACAAATAAAGTGTTGCACTTTTAAAATGTGAAAAAAAAAAAACAAATTTAGGTTTTGCACACATGGATGTGAGTGCAGCAAAAATATCCATGTAGCGACATCTGATTTATGAAAGTACTTAATGATATTTAAATTTGGAATAGTGAGAAAATGACGATATAATTTTACCTTATTTCCATTTGGGAACCTTCATTATAATAGTATGACTTTTGGTTTATTCAGGAGTTAAATAACAGTTGCACGTTTTTCATAAATAAGATAGCTCCACATTCAGTAATTTGGTATTGTTTCGTCGCATCCATATGGTTTTACTTGTGCAGAAATACTACAGATTTCACATACTTGTGCATAAGAAGATATATTTATACCTTGTGTTCATCAATTTTCATCATAAAGATCAGTTAACTTTGATACCAATTATGAAACCATATACTTACATTTCGTGGTTGACTCTAAAAGTTTTCAATCCAGTTCTTTACGTCTCGGGATAGGTTTCAATTTTATTTGCACACACGTTGTTCACAACAATTCTATGTGATAAATGCATTAGTTTATGAGCTATGGGATTGAAAGAAGTGGTTGAGTGTATTTTTCAGTACAATTTTTGGGTAAACATGATGATAAGGTTCATGGTCGTCAACACAAAAGCCAGACGAAGAAAATCGTTTTGGTTAAATGAACAAGTTGAAGAATGTGAACAAAAAGCACAAATAATTTTTTGTTTCGTCGTCTCTTTCATCACCTCAGAAAATATCAACAAATCACCATAAATTGTATGCCTTATAACCCAAATGATGCGGTTTCTGTTGCTACTTTTGACGTTACCTTAAATTTCTTTCTGTATGATATGTTTTTGAATAGAAATACAGAGGAAGAGGAGGAGGGAGAGAAAGAGATAAAAAAAGGAAATACACAATAGAAGAATTGCCATAGATTTACCACAAGATTGAAATGCCTAGAGCGAACGTTGTTTATGTTGTTGCAGACGCGATAATTTGGCCTTCACAATGGCATCGCCAAATGTGCATTCATCGACTGAATACGAGATATATTCGGAAAATAAGAAGAGAACAATGGGAAAGTGAGAAAGGTACGAGTATTGAATTCGATGTGAAAATCTGGACCTAGCGCAATGTTCCGAAATTAAGAAATGTAAATTCTCAATTGTATCCGTTTGGTTACAATCAGGTAGAAACAGATGTTCATTTTCGTAATTTTCATGTTTTTTTCTTTATTCGTTGCCTTTTTTCCCTAGAACACAAAGAATGTATTGATTTGTTCCTTTAAATTCACATTGTTTCAAAACTTATTAATTATTTTCACTTTCTGTGACGATTTTTCAAACAATTCCATTTCGTACTGCGATACGAGCATCGAACACGAATATTTTTTATACATATAATTAATGGCCTCAAGTGAAACATGACATGCACAATTCATTCACTTGAAGCTCATTGTAATTTATTTACGGATTTAAGCTTTTAAATTGGTTGTTCGAAGTAATTTTCAAATTAATTGGAAATTGCTCTCCGCACCTAACGCAAAAATTGTCACATTTAACGCGATCAGAATTGAACCACAAAAAAAAAATACCCCACGCATTTTCCGACCACAAATATTTCTATGGAATCTTTTCATTAATAGTTTCTTTTGTGTTCGTTCATTCCTCTGTTGAGTTTACTTAACACCATTTAAACATACAGAAAGTTTGAATTTACCACCCCTCAAGAACGTCTTCATGGTGTAATATTGAGCTATGCTATATAAAGAGACGAAGATAAGTGACACGAAACAAATTCACACCATTTTTATTTAACTATGAAGGTTTAAACAACGTCTGCTTCGTTCCGTTGTGATGCTCTTGAGAAACAGTAGGCTTATTTGTATTGAAATAAATATGTACATTAAACAGTATTTCTGTATGCATTTTGAATAATTGGATTTTTCTCTTACGTCACATTTATATGTTATATCTGCAGGTGATTAGAGTGTGAAATTCATTCTAGAATAACAGCAGTGGGTTTTTCTTAATGATGGCATTAATTTCGATTTACATTAATTCTGAAGAATGTCTTAGTCTACTATTTTTAAGTGTGGTTGGCCGTTAAATGCGAATCATGTCCACTGCTATAATAGCGTAAAACGACATTTTTGGATGATACGAGTGCTTTTAAATGATGATATTTTTGTGGATAAATTTTAACCTATGCTTCATCGATGCATTACGGAGACTTCATTAGGGAGGGATCTACCCAAGCACTCAATTTGCACTGTTCATCCGGGGCATTCGCACCGTGCGTCAGTTACGAAAACATGAAGTAGACTACGGAGGGAGACATGAAGAAAGTAGTGTATGTTCGCATACGCTTCATTCATTGCGTCTTATTCGTTATTCCTCTTTTTCAGCTGTTTGCAAGGCAAAGGATGCTACACTTCATAACAAAAAGATGAAAAAGGGGAATAAAGAATAAGACGCAAGGCACGAAGTGTATATGCAAATACACTTCTTTCTTCGTGTCTCGATCCGTATTATGTTTCGTGTTTTCGTAACTAACGCACGGTGCAAATGCCCCGGGCGAAAATATTTTGGTTTCACTTCGTGTTTTGTGTCGAGCTTAACGCAACCAAAAATTTGTTTTGTGTTTTATTTTCCACTCGTATCTTTCACGTCGTCGAACATTTGCCCACCAATTTAACTTGTGATCACAATCTAATTGGTGATTCACTTAAAATACTGAACATTTCACAAGCAATGTTCAAACTATGGCATTAGTAAACTGTCAGAATCACACAATATTTAACGTGGTCTTCTTCTGCTGTGAAGAATTTCTCAGTCGAATGAAATTGAATGATTGAAAATAATTCATTTTTATTTAATAATTTTTCTCGAAAGTGGAAGTACAAAATGTTTAAAATGCTGAACAAACAATACTCATTCCATGAAAATTTTGATTTTATGCAAAAATGAACATTTCAATTTTCTACTTCATTCGTGATTCCTATTAATGACCAACTTGCCAAGAAAATGATTTATTGAATGGATATTTTTTGCATAAAAATATGCATTATCACAAGAGAGAAAAAAATTTGTTTCTTTCCACCATATTTCACTAATGGCACTCTTTCACTTGTGCCATTTAAATAAAGCAACGAATATGACGGCGTTACGCGTTAGTGCATGATTCTGACATTTGACACATCTTTCGCCTATCCATAATGATTTATGATTTTAATGATTAATGAATACTGTATGGTTTTCTTTTTTTTTCATCAAATTAATCTCTAACAAATGTACAACGAATATTTCATTCAGTGATTTTAGTAAAATCTGACACATTATCTCTGTTCAACAGTGACAGTCATTTAAATCGAACCATGTATGCGTTACAATGAAGAGCAAAGAAATGAATGTATGCATTTTCATAAGAATAGATAAACCGAATGAAAGATAGGATGAAAATGAAATAAGATGTTTTCTCTGAAACTGACATTTCAAATTAGGTGCTGTTTAACAAACGAATTTCCTTTTGTCGGTGTATCCATGCCTTGCCTTTGTTTGCCTGTTTACACAATAGCAAATTGACAAAGGCGCTTGTGTATTGCTTGCTTTCGAATGAAATGGAACCACAAATCAAGTACAAGCGATATCATCGGATTACGTTCACAGTCATGTTTGTGCTAATGTGCCAGATTCAACCAATAATTTTCTGCAAATGTTATTACATAGAACTAATGTCAACAGTTTAATTATCTCTGTGTTTTAGTTGTTATTACTTCCTAGTTCATAAAATGGTATAATTATCAAAAACAGTTCTCTCATATTTTATAGTATTAATAAATACGTAGTACAATCACAATATTCTTTTTTAAATTAATTTAGCTTTGAAAAGAAACCTCGAAATTACATCGCATTTATCACTTCAATTCATTTTGTTTTTGCTACATGAAAAAACCACCTGTATGGTTATGGTTAATCTTATCATTTACAAATTATTTTAATCACTGTTTCGTTGACTGATAATCAAGAGGTATGCCAAATGAATTTACGATTTATGTGTATCTATCCAACATCTGTTTATTTGATGAGCACCGCTTGAGTTCCCCTCCCGCATACACATACACAGCTTACCATTTCCTAAACATTTACAAATTTTCCGTTAACATTATAATGTTTTGTGCATTATTACCGTCATTCAATATAACGCCAGCCATTTGATTCTATGTACGAGTTGTTTTTGTCGTGTATTTTCCGTCGCTGAGCTTGTACGATTGGGTCGTTCGCCGTTTCACTGAAATGCAGAGTATGTTTTGTTTTTTCTCTTGTCATTTTAAATGGGAAAACATTTGAAACTATCTTTCATTTTAAAGCTTATTGAAATCAATGTAATTTACTACGGTCATGCTCACGCTCACAATGCATACACACTCAGCTAAAAGATGCAAAGTTCTAACAACGAATATACGAATGTCGCCATTCGCATATATAGCATAGCTACGACGCAATTATTTATTGCTCAGCAGTCAGCAATTTGTTATAAATTACAATGAGAGTAGATAAAAAGCATCGAAGAGAAAATTTTCCAGTATTAAATTCTGTTGTTTTGCCATGGTTTGAAATTACCAGAGAGTGGAAAACGCTGCCGCTATAGTAATACTATATCAACAGTGCCTATAAATAGTTACTATTTGTACACATTTCGATTGTGTGATCACAATAATTTTTGCGAACTCCAATGTGAACAATGCAAGAGGGAAAACATGAACAGCTATTATTTACGGCTTGGAAAAAAATGACCTGATTTTGGTAAAAGTAAAAAGATTAAAAGTCTATTTGTATACGTAAATAACGGTTAATTAATAACTATTACATTAGCAAAAGTTGAAATCAAAGCCGTGGTCTATTATATGAATTCCCATATAAATTTTGTGACCGAAAACACTGACGCCCTCCCTGATTGCATTAAATCGAACTAGTCTGTCCCAAATGTTTTGTATTGCATCTAACAGATGGCGCTCGTATATTCACAATAACAAAAATCAGAGATAGACCACGGCTATGGTTGAAACTTTCAACAATTACACCACAAAGTCCACCCCAAAATGGAATCAGTTGATGATGTTCCGAAAGTTTGTAATGAGCAGTATTTTCACATTGTTCGAAACGAATCAGTTCAGCCTAGCAGCTGCTCTCAGTGATAATTGAACAAAAATTTGAACAGCCAGAAATTGACACTAGACTATTAAATCAAATTGATATATGACTGCGTATTGTATAAGTCATGCATTTGTCGATGAAAAATGAGTGTATTTTGTTTTCCAGTCGTTCAGACTCAGATGGCATGTTGTAGGTAGGCATGTTCCCCGACATTGAAGTTTCAGTTTAGAAAAACAAACACCATGAGGTATATGTACAAAATGTGTATACGTAGAAATAATTTCTGGAATTGTAGCGACACGTTTTGTACAAATTCCATAAAAATATTGCTTTTCCAAATCTTTTGGCGCTAGAAATATTTTACTATGTATATACTATCCGAATTAAGAAGAATTTTTTAATTTTATTTTTTCGGAAAACGTAGTGTAGCGTAACCGCAGCGCAATGTTACGCTGCTTTACGTTATACAAAGTTTTTCGAAAAAAAAAATTAGAAAAAATGAAAAGTTCTTTTTAATTCGGATCGTACATATTTAGTACAATATTTCTTGCTCAAAAAGTTTTGAAAAATCAATATTTTTATGGAACTATTTATTATTTTTTATTGGCAAACGTGTCTTTAGTACAAAATTACATCTACGCAAAGTACATATTTCGTACAAATTTCTCATGGTGTTTTTTTTCTAAATTGAAATCCCCCTGGAGAGCAGATTTGGGAATTACCCCCTTGGAAATTTCCTTTTTTTGAGAAAAATATTCTTTGATTATTCTTCGCGAAAAATGTGAAGACCTTTTTTTTGCTCTTCACTTTCCAAATCGAAAAAGTTACCCCTTTAGATTTTTGGAAAATTTTGAAATTACCCCCCCTTTGATCGCCAACTCCAGAAGCTATGACTTCGATGACGGGGTGTCATAGACCTGTTCATTGTTCATTTTTTTCCTCGATAGTATATTCAATGTTTATCGAAATAAATGAATATTTTACGCAGTGCACAGTTTACAATGAACATTTCGAAACAAAAAATTGCTGGTCAAATGTTTGAAGTTTGCCAACTCTTCTTTTGCCTGCTTTGCCAAACACCGAAAAAATGTGCCTGTAAAAATATTTAGACCGTGGTTAAAAATAGTTCATTTCCGAGCTAAAGTTGGATGTATTACATTTTCAAATTACAAATCTGTTTTGGTTAAAAATCGAAAATGTTCAACCTCGGACTGGAATTTTGTGTCGGTCGAATTTCTGTTTGTGTATGTTGTTCAAACAGTCAGAATTATTGTCATACACATAAAAAACGCGTTTTTTGTGGTAAACTTGTATGTTTCTCATTTTCAACTTTTGAAACTATTCCCACAAAACTGACTCTCGAACAAAGTTGAACAAATAAAATAGAAAAAAGAGGTAACCGAAAAAAATTAACAAAAAAGAAACTTTTTGGCAACGCTCTTTTTTCTCAACACAGTGAGACAACTTTCTCCAACTAGTTTAAACAAATGAATTTAAATTGCTTGAAACGTAGGCACGACGAAAAAAGAATAATAATTTATGATAAACAAGTTTATGTGTCACAATAGCAGATTGACAAAAATGCAATCTAGAAAATGCACGTTTGATGCTTGAGCAAAAGACCAGTTTCGAAACAACAAAGTTGCAAATAAAATTTTTTTAACAAATTGAAATAAAAAGACTTACAGAGTCTTGGCTTACGTTCAATTGACATGGAATTCCGTTGTAAAAACGTGTCGTCCATTTTCCACAAGCGAAAACAACAAAAGCACAATATTCGCTGAAAATAATGTCGAAATCGTCTATTCATCCAGTAGTAAATGATGGGATTTACCATGCTATTTGACATGGCAAGCCAATAAAATGCCAAAAACAGGTGCGGTGTAAATTTGGTGGACGTTATTTGCGGCTCATGATATGCATACACATAAAACATATGATAGGGCAACCAACATATAGCAAATATGGTGACAACAGCTATAAACATTCGCACAACCTGCGGATTCCGTTATTGTTTAGAATGTATCACAATTTGAATGCGATTCGATGAAGTTGCGCACATAAGGGAGAAAGAGAGAAAAAAATAACAGTAAATGACAATGTAACAAATATTATGGGATAAGGTTGAATGCGATGTTCGTTCATTTTTTTAGTTCTTCAATGGTCAAATTGTGGCAAGAGAATTCCAAGAACTTATGAATAAAAATCACTTCAACATCAATCTCACATACAGACTGAACAATAATAACAATGAAATAGACATATCGGAGAGAGGAGTGAAAAAAAACTTATTCAAATAGCTTGTGTACATATTTTTGAAAAATTCGTATTCAGCACTCGTTTGTTTGATTCAAGATATGAACCGAAGTTTGTCATATTTACAATAACTTCGAACGCCCCACATTCATTCTTCACACGCCATTCTTTCGATAATATGCGTGCCCTCACTCTCTCCCGATATGAACTACGTGGCAATGAGAACAATGGAAAATAAAAGAAAAAGACAACCAAAAAATCACCCGATCGAATGAGCGCGGGTGAGTGCCATATTGACATAATAAATGTTCCATACTAACCTTTTTCTTGGACTTCACCGATTCAGTTTGACGCTCTGTATTCTCGCCAATCGATTGACTCCCCCACAACTCTCGACCCATTAAACTATAACATATGATCATAACAACCATCGGTATGCCATACGTAAACGCCAAAAAGACGATATTGTAACTGGTAAAATGAAAGAGATAAGAATGGAAAAAATGAAGCACAGTAAAAAGAAGACAATCGAATAACAAATAATGTCAACGATGGCTTGAATTAAGGAAAGCGCCCCATATACAAACACTACACGCTTGAAGTGACTTGAAGTGATATATGTGGAAACACTTACATTAAGAATGAGTTTCCATATTCAAATAATATACGCACACATCAAACGATAAAATCGTGAATAATGTCTAGTTAATAGATACTTTATTTATATTACTTAAACGATTTAGCGGTGGACTAGCATTGCATTTGTAAAACAAAAGAAAAATCTCACACAGAAAAGTGTAAGTGATTGAGTGAAGCAAAGAATAAAAAGCGAAAAAAAATTCTGAGAAGAAATATCAACTGTAAAGAAACATGCTTTGCACAATGAAAAACATGGCAAATATTTTATAGCAATGCCTTTTGGGAATTGTTAAAGGGTACCGAACCATTGCATCCAAACGTTCATTCGTTGTGTCTCAGGAATGTTTGTTTCCCAACGGTAAAAGCTTTAAATGCAATTGTGTTTTCTGTTGGCCCCAGCAGTTTGACAAATGCTCGTTTTTTGACTACATGACTCTATTCATTTTTCAATAGGAGAGGACACAGGCGAAAATGGAATCTCTCTGAATCCAACCCTTCTTCTTTTTTTATATTTGTGCATTTTAAGGCAAATCCGAGTTAAAAAAAATATTTTGCATATACCATACACCCCATCAACCCCGAAACAAACATTTAAAATATGTCATAATCAAAAAAGAGTACATGCATTTTTAAGAAGATGTAAGAAAAAGAGAAGCACATCCATTCTGAAAATTTCAAAATGTTAAGAAAAAAAGAGGATGTTCACAGCATTGAGCAGCAAAAAATGTATCGTTTTGAATTTGAAATTCGAGGCTTGTTTTCGTTTTTGTCGGCTCGACGACAGTCAAATGTTTACAATAATAATGAAGAAGATCCAAGCCAATAGAAAAATCATCAATTTTCTTTTTCTCTTTTCATTGTATATTGACAAAAGCGATAAATGAATAAATCATGTACGAGGGTTGCTCCATAATTTTTTTTTAAAAACATATATAACACAGTTGTTTTTTGTCGAAAATGG